CTGGAAGTGCTCAAGGATGGCACCGTATTGTGCGGGTAAATTTTTGTGTATTTAGGAAAAAGCACATAATCTGTCGTATATGATACCCGAGACTTTAATACTAGTTTCTCTGTGGTGTCTCTCGGCACATTCCTGTACGATTCGCTCCTGGCTTACAGACCACAATTGTTATGGAGAAACACAGTAGGGTTTGTAATAAGTGACCGAAATGGCGGAGAGAATGCAAAACACGCACTGGGTAATTCATTCCGGAAAACAGAAGAACAACAAAACCATCAGCAGGATGACCAGCGAGCGGTGAAAAATTGGCAAAAGTAACAGAAAGTGTCACCAGCTGTACGAAACTACACGAAAATGTGCTTCAGTGGAACTACAGCTGTGTTAGGCCCGTTACGTGACCCTTGACTGTAGCAGCGATGGACGGGGGAGAAACACCAGTTTATTCTTCTAACAAACACTTTACTCCAGAGAATACGTCGAATAAAATGACACGTCAAAATGGCGAACAGGACGACGCGTAGGACAATGAACAGGGGCACCGCACAAGCTGTGCAACAGAACGCCGGCGGTGGGAGAGGCAAGACGATAGAGACGTTGGACGTGACGGTGGAGCGGCGTCGTTGACTGACGATTTGTCGAAACTTAACAAACTGATTAACTGACTGTGGGTCTGGATCTAGGAAGGGTTTATATAGGGAGAATTAGTGGAGGGAAAAGGAGGGCAAGTTAGTTAACGAGTAGGAAAGTAGATAGTATAGAAACATTTAGAATTTTTTTTGGTGGAATTGTTAGAAGTTAGTAAGGCGGGGGAAGTAGGTCGAAATGTTAGGAATTGGTGAGAGGAGGGAAACGGGTAAATTATAGGATTACAGCTGATCAGAGTAACAATACATGTGTTTATGCTTCATTACATTTGTACGCCCAATCGTCTCTCTTTGATGCGATTCGAAGCGACAATAATCAAGAATTTGTTTTCGTCCGGATTATGCTACGTCTTTTTCGCTTCGCTACTAGCTTTCGGTCTTTTATCCGGACACAGTGATGGATGGTCCGGTGTTGAACAGTCGGGAAATACGTCGAATTATAGGATAGTGGCGTTGCGATTCCGAAATTTCAGCTTTCAAGCTTTTCTGGTTCTTTCGAGTTGAAAATGGGTGACAAAAAGTGCAAACACGCAGATACACACATGCAGGCAATTTCTTATTAATACACGCTTTTACGCAAAAACGCGTAAAAAATCTATATCGATTTTAGCTGACCGCATACCTGATACCTGGGGTCAAGAGTTCCAATGGCCATCTGCACCTCGTCGTGCAGCAAATGCATCTTTGGCTGATCGGTATTTGGGAGCTGGATTATGGTATAGAATCTGGATCTTGGTCAACAGCTGATTTGTGAAAACCAGAGTCTAAACACAGGTTGTTGGTGGAAAATGATGACAACAGAAAGATTAGCTCTCCACTGCATACATCAACTGTCATTAGTTATACACGTTTGTTTACGTCGGAAGGTATTAGCCAGTCTTTATGGATTTGGATTACATCAAACAGTTTCATGGGTTTTTCAGCCTGGCAAATGCACTGCAACCGGGATCAGTCAAAAAAGTGAACAAAAGTGCAATGGCTTTCAAACAAATGGAAAATATTTCGTTCTTCTTATCATTTGCCGAAAAACACATCACGAAATCGGAGCTCTTCCAGACAGTTGATCTTTTCGAGGGCCAGGATCCAAATGCAGTTGTAATTTGTCTTGCATCACTAGCGAGGAAAGCAGAAGAACTGTTCGGGAAGCCGGGCTTGGGACCTAAGGTATTCACTTGTAATCATTACACAGTGATAATGATAAAGTACTACCATTAAGTATATTCAAAGTTTTGTGAAAGAAAAATCATATCCTTTTATAGATTTTTTTAAATTAAAATTCGACGTTTTATTACGATTTTCACTCTGCTGCTTTGATTAGCTGTTGTTTCACGGTCGCGTTACTTCTTGCCATTGATGCAGCTAGCAACTTCTCCATCCTGCTGAACTTTAGGCCTCTCACGCACATAATTCCGTTTAAACGGATTCATTTACCGCACTGATGTTTCACAAACATCTTAATCTATTTACAAGTAGAAAAGTGAAAGTAGGGGACTTCCCCGATTTTATTTTCTTTATAATATTTGAATATATCTGTATTTGAATCATCCAGGTTTTGAAACACAGTACTCCCTAGAATGAGATGGTTTACAGTACGGAATGTGCGTGATCGTTATGACTATTTCAGGAAGCAAAAGGTGAAAAGCGTGAGTGGTCAGAAGAGAAGCTTCGTGCCGGTGAGACTATCATTGGACTTCAAATGGGTACCAATAAAGGTGCAAATGCATCCGGTATAAATATGGGTAACACACGACATATGTAACACCATCCTTGCATTCGCTTAAGCCACATATCAGTTTTTTTTTGTTGTTGAATGATATGTTAAATATAACATTCCGTGAATTTTGAGATATTTGTGCGCCTTTCTACAAACATACTATTTTCACGATTTACATACTCCTACGATTAATTCTGACGATTTTCATACTCTTATAATTAATTTTTGCAATTTCTCCTACAACTGGTTCTCACGATTTTTTTTCCTGCAATTTTCTGATTCCTCTGTATTAGTTTCACTATATTTAGTTTACAGTGAAATTTAACTGTACTTGAAAAATGCGTTGCAAAAGTGAGCTATTTAAGTGAAATTAAACAGATGTGAGGGCAAAGGGGCAATTTTTTTGGGCGAGTTTCAACAGTGCATCCAATTCCGGTGTTTGATATGCTACTGTAGTGCTGTGCAGAACGATCTAATTATCAAAGACAAAAATCAAACGCCTACTTATCACTTTTTGTGGTACGCCAGGCAGTTGATAGCGTTCTGAATGATCGGTTTGTTTATGATGGTACAGAATCGCTTGGGATGCCTTGTCATCAACTGTCCAGCAGATAACAAGTACACAGATCAGTGGAATAGTAGAACACTGATTAGTAAAAAGCACAGTTTTTTTTTGCACCATAACTGCTTGGTATATAGTGTTCCAGCTTATACAGCACACACCTAAGAGTCAGTGAGTCTAGCTATGAGGTTTTCCGAATTTTTCTGGAGGAATGCATTTTTGGCAGGCGGAAGTTGCGCAGCATGAAAGTTTTCAAAATAATTATTGTTTGAGAGATGTATCATATAACGAAATAACAAACAGGCAATGAGATGTGCTAACTGGAAGTATGCAGCCCAGGACCGAAAAGCGGAAAAAATAGCGGTGTTCGGCGTGTGGGGATTTATCAATATAGCATCATTAAGATTGGATACCCATACCGGCTGTCTGGAGGTCTTGATGTTTAAGAAGAACCCGTATTTTAAATATGAAAATGATTTTTAATGCAATAAATAGTAATTGCGAAAATGTTGTCAATGGTTGAAAAATAATGAAAATAGAACAAACGACCCAAAGAAAAGTGGGCTTGTGCTATTCTTTTCTTTTTTTTTTATTTTAGGAAAAACGCCTCTTCTCCTCCCAATTCTCACACTAGCCTCTTGAGGCTAGGCGTGATACAGTTTGGTCCGATTAAAAACTGAACGTGTACTACTTCTTTAAAATTTGGTTCTTACTAAACAACACTTAAAAGTGTGGAGCGTTTTGGAAATTTGAAGTCGCTTTCTTCTCCATCCCCTCCTCCTTCTGTCCCTCCCCCGTCCGCATAAGATTCCCGTCCTCTCCTCATTTCTTGCCTAAATATTCACCATCATTTCGTTCCCTACGATACAGGGCTCAAAGCTTGAAATAACTAGTTTTGTTTGCAAGCAAAAATGTTCCTGAGTGAACTTTGTTATTGTTTTTTAAATTGCTCTTTAGAAAAAATCATTTTTCGAATTTTTATAAATTTGCAACTGTGATTATTCTGTTGATGTTGAATAAACGTCTGCGTTCGTGAAAACTATACGTGTGATAAACTGGTTCTTGAAGTCTGGGAAGTTATTTGTCTCCACGGCATTTGCACAGGTAACATTTCGTTGAAAATCGGTATACGGCTGTTTGAGCAGCGCTACGTTTCCAGTGATGCCAGCCCGTACAGTTCTGGAAATATGGCACCGGCTATTTAGAAATTCTAGAAATCCGTACAGTTTTAAAGCCTCAATAAAGTTTTTCTGCTTAATCCCGCATGAAGCAAAAGATGATCTGTACTCGTGTGCGTTTGTCTGTGTCTGCGTGAGTATGTGTGTGTTTATGTAGATGTGTGTGTGTATGCATGTGTGTATGTGTGTGTGTGTGTGTGTGTATGCATGTGTGTATGAGTGTGCGTATGTATGTGTGCATGCTTCAAGATATTACAACGTCTGTACCATAAAACTTGAGAATTCAAATTTTTGGAGCTTTGTTCACAATCGTGCTGTGTAGCTGGCAGCAATGGCGAATCCTGCACTTATGATGATGTAACTTCGGAATGAAGCACATCCAAAAATTTGAAGTTTTCTGGATTACAGATAACAAAACGCAAACTAACCAGCGCGGTGGACGGTGGTAGGTAGAGCGACTCGACATGTTTGGGAGGTAGTGATTGGTTGGTGCCCAGACGCATCTCCGGGGAGCAGGAATTGGGCACAGGATAGAGGAGCGGAACAGGAGTGCTAGTCAGGAGTTCAGTGGGAGGAATAGTGACTTTGATTAGGGGCGGTGAGTGATGGGTACCTAGATATCGCTCTAGAGGGAAGATTGGGGGTAGGATCGAAGAAGAGAACAATGGCGCTAGTTAGGAGCTCCAGGCAAGAACTGAAAACAACAGTAAAGAAAAAGAAAGAAAACAAAACCACAAAAAAAAGCTAATTAAAGCAAACAGGAACTTATGCAAAAAGCGAAATCAAAGAATCGGGACTTATGAATTAAAAGCAAAAAAAGTAAAAGCAAATAAAAACTGAGCTTATGCGAGCAGAAATTATTTTACAAAAACCCGTTTTCAGTAGAGGACCTTCCAGTTTATGAAGCTGATGTTTAGGTGAAGCTGAACACAAATATATTCGATTGGATTTACACAAAAATTTCGCAGAATCCCAGTGCGTTGCCATCGACTTCCCGCGGTTAGGCATTTTTTGCTGCTAAAACTCAAACAAGGCTGACTCCATCCTTGTGCATCTATGATCCTCTTTTTGATCATTGCATATCCTAGAGTGGAACTTAATCGCTGTCAGCTTTACTTAAGAATAATAAGCTTCACAAATGGGAAAATCCTTCACCGATGATGGGTTTTTTATAGGACAAGTTCTACCCAGTTTTTTCTGCTTTTGTTTTTTTTTTAACTTTCAGCCGTAGGTTCCGATTTTTCGGTCTTGTTTTGTTTTCGTTCTTATTTGTAAGTTTCATTTAATTTACTTTTCTTTGTAGTGCAGTGTTGTCTCTTTCTCTTTACTGCTGTCCCCGGTCTTGCCTCGAGCTACTGACTTGTATCCTCGCTCTCATTCTCCGTTCTGCCCCCAAATGCGGTCTGCAAGGCAACATCTGAGCTTCTCTCCATCCTCACTATAAGAATACTCGGGAAGCAACCGTAGTATTCCACCCCTTCCCTACCCCGGGTATCCACAATAGAAATAATCAGGAGCACTGTTTCTCTTCATTTCCAAGCATCACCGCCCTCTCTCCTTCCCCCGCCCCCTTCTCTCCCGCTTCCCCCCAAATGTACGTGTCCTAGCCAACCGGCAAGAGACCTACGCCATATAGCCACTAGAGGGGGCTGGGGTAGATTCATCTACCCCAGCCCCCTCCCCCCTCGTGCCTCGAACAAAACCCGTGGCAACCTCCCTCCCCCCTCCGCCTTACCCG